GAACCCGGCGGAATTCTCCCTTGGGGCTCTCCGCATCCCCCTCTTCATCTTTCCCCTGCTTCCTGTCTCAGCATCTCCCAGAAGGGTGCCCCGGTATCTGGGCTCCTCCTCACCCGCTGAGGGACGCTGAGAGCCAGGCTCCCTGGACCGCTGGGACCCCGCTGAGGGACAGCTGGCGAGCTGGAGGAGGGGGATGAGCTGACCTGGAGCACTCCTGCTTATAGATGTCGATGATGTTCTCCACCAGCAGGTTCCTCTGTAGGCCATACACTCCGTGGCGGTCCATGATCACCTCGTGACGGCAGGAGGGGCAGCGGAAACGGCCTCCAGACATGGACATCGAGCCTCCCCGGTTGGTCCAGTAAGGATTTGCGGCCTGCAGGTGGCAAAGGCAGAGTTGGTGCCTGGGCTTCTTCCCCAGCCCTTTCACCTTCCAGTCTACTGACCTTCCCCATCCCTGCCTACCCCGACCATCCTCATTTGGAGGACCCCATTCTGAGATGAGAACCCGCCCGATGGATGCCCAGAACACTGGTGAAGCACTAAGCCAGCAATAAGAGCATAGTATGTACACCTGCTTCGGGTTCAGGTCACATTGACTTGCTGAGTGACTGTGAGGGAGCCACCTTCCCTCTCTAAGCTCAGGATGCTCCTTCAAAATACGGACCTTATAGTTAGAGCAAGTGCCTCGGGCTGCCCATAAAACACAGTGCTCCTGGGAAAACCCGAGTCCTCCTTCTCTGCCAGGACACCCGCTCCCATGCCTCTCTCTGCCCTCCCTCTAGAGTCTAGATTCTAGAGGCCAGCCTCACAAAGGAAGAGGCCGCTACCGCCCAGTCCCTCCCCACCACCCCCTCCTGGGCTCTGGGCCCCTGTCACGGTGGAGCTGGCTCCAGTCCCAAGGGTCTGGTTTCCCTCTCCTCTCAGCCTGCCTCCCGCACTTATCACTTGGGACATATGACTCTTGACTGGAGAGTCCACTGCCAGGCTCAGACAGAGGTGGGGAGCCGTGGGCCCCATGGAGGGGGAAACGTGTCCTGGAGAAGGACTCCAGCCTCCACAGCAGCCTCCCCTGCCCCTCAGCTGTGTCCGGAAGCCTCTGCTGGGGGCTGAACTCAGAGGGGACAGGGACTGTCCCAGTCGGGAAAGGTCCTGGGCGAGGGGAGAAAGCGTTTCATCATGGAGAAGCCGAGAAGCCCCCAGGGCCCCAGCACTAGACCATGCCCGGCACTGACCTGGAAGATGTCATTGGCACACTTCCGGCAGAGGTTGTGCTGGCACGGCAGGATGACCACCGGCTTGGTAAACATCTCCAGGCAGATGGGGCAGATCAGCTGCTTCTCCAGGTTTTCCATTGGGTTCCCATCCTGGATCAGGCTGGGCTTATAATCCATCTCCTCTCACGGTGCTGCCCCACCTGGGTGCCTTCTTCACCTGGGCCCGGCTCTGGGCAGACCTGGGGCTCTTCCCTTCGTCACCAAACACCCCCTCGGAACTCTTTGCTTCCTTCTCCTGGTCCTGAATTCTGTCTTTGGGTGAGGCCCCTCTGATATTTATAGCTGGACTCCGGGCACATGAGCCGGGGAGGGGACCAGCTGAGCATTCCTGTGCCAGGCGGCTGGGCGAGGCTTGAGTTTCCTCCAGGCTTGGAAGGCTCGCTGTCTACTGTCACACGTGGGGATGAGCAATCGCTGTTCCCCAGGAATGGGGGTCGTAAACAAGAACAGCCTGTTCAGAGGCAGGCTTGCGGGAAGGATCGGGTACCCAGAGTTTCCTCCAGAAATTGGTTTTCCCCCCACCCCGGGCTGAGGCCCATCCTGTGAACCACTGGAATTCAAGGAGTTCATAGCCACGGAGTCTCAAGGACAAGAGAATGACCCCCTGACCTAAATAAAATCTTTTCCTCCACTTTGGAGTCGGGGCAGCTCCCAAGATGTGGGGTGTGTGTGTGTGTGTGTGTGTGTGTGTGTGTGGCCTGCTCTTTCTGAGCCCATCCGTCTGTCTGAACCCTGAGCACAGTATTTTGTAGGAGATCCTGGAGACATCCCTCTCCCCCTCCCCCTTTCAACCTTTGATGGAGACCCCACCCCACCGTCCAATCTCCAGGCTCTTAGCTGATGCTTCATTCTTTGTCCACCAATTCCACTCTGGTGCCGGGTGTCACCTAGTCCTCTCATTTTATAAATTTCCAAAGTCTCTTCTGACATTTATTTTCTGATCTTTGTTTTTTTTTGGGGGGGTGTCTTTCAAATAACCTTTACTTGCTTCGTGTTTGATGTTCTCCGTGGCATCCTACACTCTTCTGGTCTTCGGCCGTTCGTTTTTATTCTGTCAACTCTATTCTTCGGGTGGCCCCTGAATGCAGCCAGAATGTTCTCAAGGTCTGACTTTCACTCTCATGGACTTGCCTTGATGTTCTTCCGCTTCAACTTGAACTTGAAGCAGCTTCAACTTCAACTTGAGCAGACCACTGATGGACGGCTCTGCAGTCAGTTTTTTATTTTGTCTTAACCAATACTGTGACGCTTCTCCATCATTTCTTTACACGGCGTTGATTGGATTTCTGTGTAATCTATTTGGTGGAGTTCGTGTGTATCTTTTGTGTTGCTGGGGAAAAATTCTGGTTAATAAGTCGTTAGTCTTGGAAATTCTATCAGGCCATCTCCGGCTTCACTCCTCTTATCAAGGTCATATTTTCCAGCTGCTGCTTCTTCTTTGTTTGCAGCTTTTGATTCCAGTCGCCAGTACTTATCGATGCATCTCGATTGCACGTTTGATCTATTTTGGACTGCAGCAGTTCGTAAAAATCTTCATTTCCTTCACTCTTGGCATTTGCGGTTCGTGCAAACATTTGGATAGCAGTATTAGCTGGTCTTCCTTGTCGGCATAGGGATTTTAGCCTACCACTGACAGGAGTGTATTTCAGAATAGATCTTGAAATGTTCCTTTTGATGCTAAATGCAACCGCATGGCTCTTCAATCTGTCTTCTCAGCATGCTTGGCCAGGCGACCGTCAGATTCAAAGTGGCCTGTGCCAGTCCATTTCAGTTCATGAATGCTTAGATTTTGCTCTTCAAGCATTTTATTTATTTCATTAAAAGACCATTTTATCGGGAGCTCTTGCAACTCTTGGTACAATCCATACATCAATCGTATCAGACATATCTGTACCTATATTGCCATCATGCTTTTCTAGACATTGACTTTCTATTGAAGCTCCCCCCCCCTTTTTTTCTTCCCTCCCTTCCCTCCCACCCTCATGGCCCCTTGATAGATTATAAATAGTTAGTCTTTTCCTATCTCACGCTGACTGCTGTCTCCCTTCGCCTCTGGTTTCTGTTGTTCTTCCCCCTGGAGGGGGTGCGTGTGGTTATGTGCCACTCAAAGCCATCAGTTCCCTTTCTCCCCCTTTTCTCCCCCCCTTTCCCATTCCTGTTCCTGGATTCGGTGTGTTGTGAGCTTTATCTCTTGTCTAGACCTATGTACAGGTTCTGGTCCAGTCCAGAGTGGGAAGCAGCACTGGGGTCATGATAGTTGGGGGTGAGGAAGCGTCAAGGAGCCAGAGGTATATTGTGTGATCTATCAGTGCTCTACTGCGCCCTGATGGACTCATCCCTTCCCTGCAACCCGTCTGTGGGGGGATATTCTGTTGTCTACAGATGGACTTCCAAGCCCCTTCATTCTCAACAACCTGTTTGTGTTTGTTTGTTGTTTGTTATGAATCGTCTGATACCTGTTACCCGGTGCTGATGACACCTCAGGATCACACCGGCTGGTGTGCTTTCTTCCACGTGGGCTTGTTGCTTCACTGTTGGATGGCCGTCAAGCATTTTATTTGATCTTTGATGACGTCCAGTATTTTGTGATTCATATGTTGTGCATTCCACATCCCGATTACTAATGGATATTTGCAGTTGTCACTTCTCATTTTGAGTCAGGTTGGAAGGTGAAGGCATGAAAGCTGTTCCAATGGCTGCTTTTCGGGTAAAATCTCCTGCAAAGGGAGCCCCTGGGCTGAGGCAGGAGAGTGGGGTAAGTCTGGCAGCAGAAGCATCAACTGTCAGGATGCACCTAACAGGCCATGGGACGTGGGACATGGGACATGAGGGCAGTATCTAGACAGAGGTGCCACGAGAGTTGACCCCTCAGCTCTGAGTAGATTCATGGCCAAAGCCATGGGATAGATAAGGCCTATGACGAGCAATGACCGAGAGTCCAGCCTTGGAGACGAGCAATGACCGAGAGTCCAGCCTTGGAGACGAGGCAGCAGGAGGGAGACCGAGAAGACCGGCAGCAGAATTTCAACTGTTGTTATTTAATTTGTATGATGAATTGGATGGTTGTTTACCGAGAAAATCGGTTTTCCCATCAACAATTCATACACATATTGTTTCATGTCATTGATTGCAATCTTCACAAGGGGACCTCTCCTTCACTCAAATTAGATATACGCCTTACCGGCTAGTTAATAATTTACCCTCTGTACCACTCCCGAAGGAACCCTGGTGTTGTCGTGGTTACTTACTGGCTGCTAACTGCAAGTTCAGCAGTTCAAAACCACCAGATGCTCCATGGGAGAAAGAGGAGGCTTTCTACTCTCATGACGTTACAATCTCGGAAACCCACAGGGGCAGTTCTACCCGGATCTATAGGGCCGCTGTGAGTCGGAATTGACTCGATGGCAGTGAGTTTTTGAGTTTACCTCTCCCATCCCTGGTACCTATCCATGAAAGAATGTTTCTTTTAGTATGAAAACTTTTGCTTGACTTTTTATAATAATGGTCTTATATAACCTTTGTCTTTTTGTGGTTGACTTACTTTACTCAGCATGTCTTCCAGGTCCACCCATGTGATGAAGTGTTTCAACAGATTCGTTGTTATTCACATTCCACTGTGTGCCTGCATTGAGTAACCCCCAAAATTACTGCCTAGTTTTTGCTGCGTCCTTACGGTACGCCGTGCACGATGCTGAGTGCTTTGTAGGCATCATCCATTGCATCTCTACTCAATACTTCAGTTCATTCTCTCAACAAACAATCTGTATATTCTCATTCCATGCACGGGGAAGGGTCGGATAACTTGTATTTGGCAAGAGGTAGCTCCAGGCCACGGATCCAGAGAGGCTTGATTCAGGAGCCCACGTCTCTCACCTCTGGGCTGGATGACCATCAACACTGCCAGACCTGCCAGGGGTCGGAGGAGGGTGCGGATTGAGAAGAGGCCATCGCTGCTTCCTGGCTTACAAATCCCCAGCCTTGATCAGGCACTGCGCAGCGCTATGCTCCAGGAAGGAGAACGCTTCCTTCTTACCTTTGAATGGAGTTGTGAGAGGATGAGGAAGCCACCACCCTGCGTTGTGGGGGTGGACAAGCCCAAGGAAGAAATCAGTACCCTGGGGATGTCAGAGAGGAGCCAGGTCATCCATGTCTTCATCGTGCTGCCGATTTATCCAACCTTGGCACTGCCTACATCTGGACTGCTTATACTGACAAACGTCACCAGAGTGAAATCATTCTATTATCTGCAGCTTGTGTGTATGTGTGCATGTATATATGTGGTAGTTACATAATCTCCTGTGAATTTGAGGATTAAGAGTGAAGGAGTGGAGTTTCGCCTGTCAAGCAGCTAGCAGCTTGAGGACCTCAATTGTAGGCACTAAGGAGATAAGTAGCTCACTGGAGGCGGGACACATGCTGACTCCCTGGGGGACATTGTAGTTGACAAGCCACATGGAAACAGGCTGATGGCAGCCAGAACCTCAGAGCTGGAAGAGCCATGTGGAGACCCTACCAGTGCTGAGATGCTTATACTGCCACTGGATCCACAAGACTTTCCACCCACTGGCCTATGATGGTCCTGCATTCAGCATCATTGCATGTGCTTCGTGAGTCTGAAGAGGAATTTATAGATTGGTATCAGACATATGGGCTAATACAGGACTTCTGGACTGGGCTGGGATGTTTTGTCAATATTAAATTTATCTTGTTTATAAAGCTCTTTCTTTTATTTATTTATTTATTTTAAACCTTTTATTAGGGGCTCATACAACTGTTATTGCAATCCATACACACATCAATTGTGTAAAGCGCATTTTTGTACATCATTCTCAAAACATTTTCTCTCCACTTAAACCCCC